GATCGTTGAGCTCTGTAATCAAAATAATCACCTGTACAATAGTAACAGCATTTCTGTAATTTTCTGTTTTACATGAAGAATGCCTTGGCGTAAAACAGGAAGTCCAGCTGCCACACACAGGAAGTGAGGTCAAGGTGCCTTATAGGCTACATTAATAGTATGGCCTCCATCCACAGGAAGGCTCACTCGCTCGGGATAGAGGGTTCATGTTTGTCCAGCCATTGAGAGATTGGTAAGCAGTCAAGCAGTCTCCCCTCAGTCTCTACAAGTTTGAAATAAAGCATTTATTAGGGTTAAATAGTGCCATCTGGGGCGCACAGTTCTTTTAAATATGACTCTTTAAGTTTTTGCTTTCTTAATATGTCTTTTGTGTTTTCTGTGTGCGAAGAGGGCTACCCCAGTTTCATGATTGCTGTTTTCTTAATTGGCGTCTCTTTCTTTCTTGCCAATGCAGTGGATCGGCAGCCCTGAACTGGCGCAGTGACACACGGTGATGCCTCACTGCCGAGCGAAGTCCGTCTGCTTCCAGTTCGGTGCTGCACTGTGATTCCTTGCTCATTGGGCTTTTACATACGGAGCCTCAGAGGGAAGAGAATGTTCACTTTTTAGAACACACCGATTAAACGTGACAGATTCATCAAAACAATGACAATTTCTTTTAGAAAAATGAAAAGAGAAGGAGAAAAGAGCACTTTGGGATAAAGGACAGTAGCTTTAAATGTTATCAGCATGCTTTGAGAATGTATCATTACCGGAGAAACTGAGAGGAGAATCCATGCTAGATCAGAAGAATGGGAGGCGTCCTGCAGACAAAGTGTGTCAGTCAGCCCTAAAACGTAGCTGTCACTGAGACACGTTTCTGCAGGACAGAAATACAACTTTCATCAAGCTAGCAGACAGGATACATCAGCATTCATGAATCTGCCTTCGCCTTTGCATTCTGTAACACACGTTGCTAATGGCGACAATTTGTTACTCTGTAGATGACAGGTGAATGATGCCATTGTGTCTGTTTGGCCAGAGTTTGGTTCAAAAGCTCTAGCTGTTCAGCATCATAGCTGCCAAATTGCTTGCCTCATTAATTGACACATTTTCCTACTACATTCCTCTAGTTATGCCTATAGCCTAAATAGAGCTGAAAGGGTAGTTAATTTCCTGAAATGTTGAATATTAGGATATCTAGAGTAAATCAGTTTGAGTTGAAAATGTTCAAAGCACTTATTCTGCTGAATGCCAGATGGAGTCTGTCCAACGTGCGCCCCTAGTGGCGGGTGTGTGTAACAGCCGCATTGAGTGTCAAGGTGAACAGGTGGGGAGGGTTCCTGGGTTTTTATCCATTATTCCGAGGTATTCCTGCCAGGGATAGGGAATGCCCCCCCTTGTATTTTGCTTGATTTTTTTTATTATTATTTGTGCGGATTACAAATACAGGAACCCATAAAGCGCAGATCGACGCGGATCTGGACGCTATTTCGGCGAGTTGACGTTACAGTCAGAACAAGTGGACCGAGATGATGCGGAGACGTTTTGATGAATGACTCGCGCGCATCCCTCTGCGGGATCGGGCTGCAAGCTGCTCTCCTCCATCACGCTTCCTGAGTGGAGCGGCTCCAGAGCCCCGGTCACCGGACGGCAGATCCGCGTACCGCGCCGTGCGGCGAGCCGCTGGAAGGCGGCGGACGCCCGGTGAGATGTTTCCCCGAAAGCTGTTTGAGGGGGCGGAGGAGCGCAGCGCAAAGCGCCCGTCCTGCTGCTTGACGGCCGCATCCAAAGCTCCCGGCGCGCGTCCCCCGCTGCGTTAATACGTTTGACCCTAGCTTAATTGAAATAAAACATTATCATCCGCCAGACGAGAAGAAAGAGGCAGTTTGAGAATCATTCCAACTAATCGCTAATTAAGACTCGGAAAAAACAACGATAAACCCGAGGAAAAAAAGCACTGTTTGTGGGGAGAGAAGGCAGGCTGACGATAAAGCGGTAATGACCGAAGGAGCAGGGCGTGGAGGACGCGACGAGCCGGGCTTCCCTGCAACCTGTCTGGCCTTCAATAAAAATACATGCCGCTGGTCTGATACATCATAACACGTTTATCTTATTGTGTAGAACGTAACATGCGCTACAGAGTAAATACACACTGAGTTGTCCCACAAGACAGGCAGTTTAAGGACAGCGTTAATGTATGATTTCCTGCTTGGGGGCACGGACTGGGTATATTTGGGTTTAAATGGTTCTGTCTTTAAGCCCCGTTACTGTATGAAGCTACAGTCCGTTGATGCACTTCTGCACGGTGCAAAAGACTGGATGGGTGGTTTGCGAATGAAAGGGGCCCCAACAGCATGTAAACAGCCCAGTGTGGTACAATGACATTATCCAGAAATATATTTAAGTCCTGTTGCACCCATGTCCACTCTCGTTCTATCCGGGGATGATAGGAGTGGTCCTCAGGACTTAAACACCGGAAGTCCCTGTGGTTTGGTAGAGGCTTCGGGCCTAGTTCGGTCTGTCAAAGTAAATTTTCTATTTGTAGTCTTGGTTCTGTAATAAATTTGCACAGTTTTGTCTTCTAGTGCTGTTCTCCTGGTCCCTGTTTCTTGATTCCCCTCCCAACACTCCACAACTGCCAGTTATTGACACTCGAATCCTCTTCCTGCGTACTTGGTTCTGGAAGCTCCCGGCCAGTCAGCAGCCCGAAATCCCAGAGGTCACATGTTTCCTGCACTGTCCTGTCCAATGGACTCGGGGACTGTGGGGCAGAATCCTGGCAGCGTGGGTGTGTCAGTTTGGTCTGGGGAGGGCTTTGCTTCTGTGCCTTCTCAAACTATGGACCAATGAAACACCTTTATTGATCTCTCTGAGCCCAGGTTGCCAGCAGTCCATTAGAACTACGTGATATCTTAAGACTGCTGGCACGTTACATTGAAAAAACCCCCACAAAGGGACAGAATTTTGACCGTGGGAAACGATTTACAGCATCAAATGAGAATGTATATATAGATTTAAATCGAGTTACTGAATTAATTGTATAGTGTAGTGTAAAATTTGAACACAGTTTATGTTAAATCTTTGGAATTTTGCTCTTGCATCAGCCTGTGGTTTTTACAGCAGTCGCATATATACATGTGAATGAATCCAGTAAGAACATACAGCCTGCAGGTCTGTCTTGATGACTGTGCCTCATCTGCTAATGAATACAGTGAATAACTATCCTGAAATTCTGCGTGTCTTCAAGGGAAAGGAGTAAGTAAAAGCTTCCAAAAATACGTGCAACACAAACAGCGTCTGGAAAGATGAAGGCTTCGCCGTTGTCCAAATTTTCAGCACAATGTAGATCGCAGCAAAACGACGCAGGAGTTTAAATAAAGCCCGCTTAAGAAGCCGGTGGCGGGACTGAAGATCAGAGTCCATTTCCTCAGAGAGTGTCTGTCTAGCTGGGAATCTGCTGTCTTCGGTGCCATGCATTAACTTATCAGTCTTACTAATTAGTTGGACTGACACATTCCTCTGGGGATGTCGAGTCGGTATGAGGGTGTGAAACATGCTGTTCCAATGAGCGAGGACAAAAAATGTGCATTTTTCCTTTCTTCCTAAAAACCCTACGGAACCAGGACGACTGAGTCTGTGGACTCTGTAACACAGCGTGATGCTGAGCTACCAAGCAGGAATTACTCTCCAGATCATCTTCATTACTGTTTCAGACTAATATTTGTGTTGTGGAACAGATTAATTAAATCATTTTGGATCCTTATCCTCGTCTTGTTGTTTTTATCATCAGAATAATACTGTAGCTGTAAGCAATTTTAATATTTTCAATACATACAGTTTTATAGCTGAGACCTTCTGGTGTCTGTGTCTCAAGATTTTGGCAGTAATATTAAAATCCAAACAAAAATCCTTCCTTAGTCGCGAGTCCTCCTACAGAAATCTTGTTGAAGTAACAGTACTTGTAATGTGTATCTATTTCTTGGCAAGAGTCTTGCCATTTATTTTGCATAAGTTACAGTTAGATTGGAATGTTACTGCAAAATAAATTAATAAAACCTTTTATTCTTCCACATTTTATTTGGACAATGAGCTCCAAGGATATGTCACCGTGATTATTTTGTTACTTGTTATGTAGAACAGGCTGCAGTATTGTCCAGGAGTTCTTGTTTTTTCTTCAGATATACAGATTTAACACTCTCCAGTTCCTACAGATGCCAGATTTGTGATACGATTTTGAAAATGTATTTGTTTCCGTACATATGTATTTTTTTATTTGTAATTGTAATAATTGGCTGATTCAGTAAATAAAAATGAATAAGAATGTCTTCCGTATTTGGAATTTCACAGCTTGAACTGAAACTTGAGTTCCTTTTCAATAATGCCATCTAGTGGTGATACAAAATAATTCCATTATAAATTTAGTTTGTAGAACGCAAAGAATATCATCAGAAAAGCGTTAGTCATGAACGTGAAATAACGTGACATGAGAAACCCTTTACAACAGTGAGTTTGTTCGTTTAGAGCCCTGAATACTTCATCTTCACAAGTTATTGGGACAGTATTTATCATGTTTACCAAACCTGGAAGAGGCAGGCAATGGTCTTATTTTTAAAGTAGCCTATACAACCTGAAATGAAACTTTCTTCAAGATACAGGGAAGGCGTTTTACCTTTGTAATACGGTTCCCGTCCTCGTGCATTCAGGGCACTTCCTCCTTCAGAAAGGAGGACATACAGATGCTGAGAGAATGTGACGTAAAAGAAGTCACCACTGGGAGAGGATGAGTTACTCCAGACACTAACAAAAACAGGCACCCTGGAGGTCTAGACTGACCCTTTCTTTGTGAGGTTTAAAGAGGCTTAAAAAGCTGCCCATCTTGGACACGTAGCCTAGGTTTGCCGCTGCAACATAATAAATCATTTTAAACACAAGCAATGCTCACTGCTTAATTATTACTGATATTCCATAGGCTTCTATTATTCTGAAACGTAGATCAGTACTCTGTTTTCGCCTGCAATCTAAATGCTAATTAATATCTTTAAATTGCCTGTAGTGAGTGATTATATGTATGCTTGTTTTTAGCCCTACGAAGGACCACCATCCTGTACAGAGTATCCCCTTCATTTCCCCCTCTGCTTTCTATGATAGGCTCCAGGCTCACTGTAACCCTGTACCGGATAAGTGTCTATGGCATATGGATCGACTGATGTAAATTAGTTATCTTTGAAAGGGCAGAACATATTGTTAAAAAGGTGTCATTTGAGTTCCAAACACCACCATTACCCTTTATAGAAATTAGGATCTATGATCTGCGGGGAGCTTCGGTGGGGAACCTACCTTATGATCTGGTCTATTGTGAGCTGGATTTAACTTCAACTGGTCCGGTAAAATAGCTGTTGAAATTGATCAAACCGTTGAAATCGCTTTGGCGAAAAATATTAGCATATTGTTTTGTGAAATACAATCCACTAGGTGTCAGTGTTTTGCCTGGAAATGCGTAGTGCCATGCGAGCAAATTAATTACTGTTTTTGGGGGAAAAAAAAAGATTTGACAGAAAATACATATTTAAAAAAGCATGACAGATGTTTGGTGCTATTATTTCGCAACTGGTGTTATATCATTAAACGGTTCTCATTGTGGGTCACTGATATGTTGCTCTTTTCTTTTCCTTGTTTATGGAAAACAAATAATTTCCCCAAGTTTTATGCACACTTTGCCGATCGAAGTTAAATTATTAGCTGAATCTGTCGGTAAAAGCGGTGTGAATAGCATGATGCTTTTCAGTATTTAAACTGCTGCATGGTCCGCAGTGTGAATGGCGAGATGTACGCATCCCACTCACCTCCTTACTGTCTCCAAGACAACCGGCTATTTGTGCCGCTAAGGGCTTTTCGTCACACTCACATCCTGGATTTGTCACGTATTTGCTGGCCACATCTAGTCAATAACCTGCTGTCCCTAAATAACGTAAGTACTGTATCAGCCTAACCATTTATGCATACTGAAGCCATAAGAGGAAACGCCAACCCTCTCCGTGTACGAAAAGTAACTGCTTCATGAAAGATGCAACAGTTAATCCAGCGCTTTATTAAATAAGTACAAATACATCTCAATATACTTCGACAAATTACTACAAGTGTAAGATACTTTGGATAAAAAGTAAACGACAGCAGGAACATTCTCAGCATCTGCAGAAGACAGGGATGCAGTTTTAATCATACAGAGGGCTATTACCCCTAATGTAAACACTTACTGCGCTCTTAATTACTCCGTAGTGCGGATAAAGCCTTCCGACTATCTTTCATTAAATAGGCGTGCCATTAAAAACGATGCTTAATATACACCTTTCATTAAAATGTCTCTTCCGTGCTGGTTCTTGTTTCACGTTGTCCTAAAGGTGTTGTGACAATACCAGAATTGCCACAAATAATTCTTTTTTTTTTCTGATAAATGCATCATCACTGGAGCCGAGCACACACAACTAATTAAGTGCCGTTTCTCCGCATGCCTCGGAAAATCTCATCCGCACTACATTCTTCTTCACAACACCCCCACCGGGCTTTTCATTGTAGCTGATTTTTCTGATGACGTGCATATATTGTCTATGTACTAGGGTGATGTGTATCTATAGATTGTAATACGTGATTAGTTTGATATAGTTACGCAGCGGTACATCATCAGCGGTATTCAAACTATTCACTAGCTATATTTCCTTTGTTCTAAAAAATGCTTAATAAAATAATTTAAATATAATAAGACATTTGAATCTTCTTGCTTTTATTTAAATTTCATATTTGAGAACTTAATTATGGGCAACGTTTTTCAAGAGGTAAAATTTCTCAGTTAAAATATGGATAATTTCAGTTACAACGCGACTCAAGTTATAATGTTCGTGTTTCCATTAACAAACATTACGCTATATACAACATTTAATACACAGTAAGGTTAAATGTTGCTACCCCGTCAAAAAGCTTATACTTGCTTCTGAAGACCTGTGGCTCTATCTGGGAAAACTCATTTTACTTTCATGTTCATCGAAAGGGATACGTTTGAAAATAATCACACAACGCCTGCACCTCACATAAATAAATTATACAATATTAATTAGTTTTCATTGCTAAAATTATTGTCTGCTCCATGCCATTAACATAAGTTCTGTATGTCATGGTGAAAGGAAACAACATCTGTCAGAACAAAAAAGAGCATTATTATAGATGTGTAAATTCATTTATTGAAAGAAAAACGTGTTGTCGCAAAATATTGCACATTTTTATCTGCCTGACGTCAGGCAGTGAGAAATTATTATAGACCGTTATAGACACAGGTACACCTTGAGTTGCTTAAATGCTACTTGATTGTTTCAAAACGTCATTGAAACTATTATTAGTGGAAAAGATACATATATATAGAATACGGTACAATTTCTGCGTTCATATTAATGGCTTCACTATTTGTAAGTTTAGTAGCAGGTTTTCTTAACTTTGTTTCTGCCCAACATACGTAATCAGAACATCACTTACCATTAAAGTGAAAGGAAAATACGAAAGATCATTCTTAATCCCACGACTGACGTGTACTTAAACCAATTTCCATTGATTTCCTATCATTTCTTATGTAAAAGATTACATAACCCTTCAGTGTGCATATGTGTGCTTGTTTGTTTGTTTGTTTAGGAAAAATATTATCTACAAAAGACACATTTTTGGATATTTTACTCTCTTTTAAATCTTGCATAACAGAAATCAGACACTGAAAGAATAATAAAACGGGCTTTTCCTTCATGCGTCGTGCCTGCGTGCCTGGAGCCCCATGGGCCCGAAGATTGGGGGGCGCATGTCTGACGTCGGATGACCCGCCGCCCCCGGAGTGCGGAGGGGGCTGAGAAGCAGTCGGGCTTCAGGTACCCGGCTGTAACAACACGCAGCCGCGCGGCCCCGGTTACCATGGCTCTCGGTCCCGCGCCCGGGTTCTGAAGCGCGAGCCGAAGCGGGCTGAATCCTCGCCGCCGCGAGCCGCACAGCTGGCGCGTTCCGGTCGCGAGCCGCACTACCGCTTCTCTCCCGTCGCCGGACAGGGCTGGTAGACTGCTAAGCGGCTAACTGGCTAACCGAACGGCTAGCTAGCTAGCCGCGTAGCCGGCAAGCCGTGTGGACGGTGTCCGAAAAACGAAGAAAAGAGAGAGAGCTATTTCGTGGTTGGCGGTTGCGGAGTGGGGGTTTAGTTGCAGCCAGTCCGTTAGCATGCTGCTCTGTGTTTAAAGGTACAGCCGGGTAGCCGCTACCCGTCATGGTAGCTCAGACCGAGTGAGGGAGCAGCGAGTAGCCAGCCGGCTAACACAAAGACTCTGCGGAGCCTTTGTCCCTCCTCACTTCAAGCTGGCCGCGGTTGGAGGACTGTAAACCTGAATTTGTTTGCCGGTTCGTAAGGTCCGCAGATTGTCTCGATGCCGTTAATATCGTCGTATTCGCTCCGGTCAGTTTTATCGGCGTTACGGTAGTTTGTGCTCAACTAGCTGGCTAGCTGGCAGTCTGCGGGGGTCTTTGTGTGAACAGCTGCGTATTTGCCAGCTGGCGGGGCTAATAGAGCATTGCTCCGGATAAATACGCTCTTTTCCACATAGACACTCTTACTGGGTACATGTTAGGTCAGGAAACACGTTACAAAATTGTCGTGTTTCTTCACAGAAATATTCATCGTCTCACAGTAGCTCAAAAACACTAGCATTAGCCCAGCTAGTGGGTACCCGTGCACGGTGCGTAGGACTCAGTTTTTATACTAGGTCCAGAAGTGGGTCCTGCGCAGCGTCGCTCTCCCCCTGCCCTTAGCACTACGGGTTTGGGCTTAGTGCGGTCTCACTCCCTGCGTGCTTATCGGTTCGCCTGGAAGTTCAGGTCTCCGAGCAGACCCCCCCCATCTGTTGCTGTCATGGCCTTCGAGCGGAGTCCCGTTCGGGGCTGTACTGGGCTCCTCTGGCTCCTGATCGCCGCCACCACCTTCGCCGGTAAGCGGGTCTCACTCTTTTCTCGGTGCGTAGGGAAGTCGCATTGTGTAGGTGTGTGAGGAAAATGTTAGGATAGAAATAAGCTTCAAATTTCGGTTAGATATTCGGTTTTGGTTCATTAGAACAATACAGCAAGTAATGTACCGATTCTCTACTGATAGTTATGCTGTTGTGATGTGGTTGCTGTGATTAACACAGTTCAAGTGCTCCGTACATAGTAGGTATGGGAAGATGTCTCTTACAGTGGTTATCTTTATAAAATTAAGACAACTTCAGTTTTCTCAGATGAGATTTAGTTTTACGTTGTGAAGTTTTGCATCTGGCTTGGCTGTTCTTGTGGTTTTCTGGTCATATATTTGTAAGTGATATTACCAGTGACCTGATTTAAGGAGACGTTTCCTGTCCAGAAGACTGCATTCAGCCAGCGGTTACAGTGTGATCCTCTGTGCTCCTAGTCTGGAGTATTTTGGTCCCACACAAGTTTTAGGTGGAGGCAGGGAGTCCTGAATTAAAAAAAAAAGTGTGTCAGCACTGCGTTGATCCCTGTAAGGCAATGGCTTTTGGGGCACAGAAAGTTGCGCAGCTTCTGTGCAGTACAGAAAGCCTCCCCACTGATGAGACAGCTCGCCCCGACAGCCACCCATCATGCATAATTGAGGGCCCAATGGAAAGCGAGCATTAGGGGACAGGCTGCAGCTGCTGCCCACTCTGACTCGCAAACTAGCCTGGGGAGAAAAACTCATTCCCTTATATGTAGGAAGAGCAGAAAAAAGAGACCATCATGTAACAAAACATCACACCACAGTACTTATTAACAACTGAAACAGCTCCACCCCCTGTGGTCTCTGCCACAATTAATTGTCTTGCTGTCAGCACGTGACCACGCTAATTTGTAGTAGTTTTGGTGGCACTTGGTTGGCAGTTTCTCAGATACTCAAACCCGTGGTGTACCTTAAACCAGCCTCTCCTATTTGGCTGAATAAAAAGGCCCAGTAATAAAGGGTTTTGGCAAGCAGAGCTGGCTTTATGATAAGTATGAAAAGTGAGCTTAAAGGAGCAGGCTGCAGTCTCAGGCCTGCTTTGTGGATTGCCATCTGCTGTCACATGTGGAAGACTCTGAGGTCAGACTCCCTGTGGGGGGGGGGGCAGTATTGTTGGAGTGTCCCTGACCAACGTACTGCGGCTTCAGCGCCCCGCCAGTCCAGCACTAAAACAGGTGTCAGAAATATCAGACACCTAATAAATTCACAGTAACTGACACATCGGAAGGGCTTCATTGCTGTCCAGAATTTATCAAAAATGCATCTGTCTGAATTTTTTGGTATCGCCAGTGATACAGATGCAGTTCTGGAGCGCATGTGTGGTTTCATTTACAGCTCAGTTCTGTGCCATGTCTGAGCCCAAAGGGAGCAAACACAGGTGTTCTGTCACATGTAACCGCATGCGATCTCATGCCTCTGTGTCTCGCATGCCAGATGTGCTGGTATTTTAACTGAAAATGAAGCCTGGACGTACTTTGTTTAGATGTCGTTTCTTTCTCCCCCCCCCCCCAGGGAATGCCATTTGTGCTCAGCACAATGACAACGTGTACGTGTCAGGCCTCTCCAGTGGTAAGTGAGACTCACAGTGTCTGTCAGGCTAATTGAGTGTTACATGACGAAACACCAGTCCCAACAGGCATGTGGACATGATGCCATGTTTTGGCTGATGTGTACAGGCATTTTCATTGGCGTGGACTTTAAGATTTCACAGAATTTTGTTTGCATCAAGCTTTTTCCTCTGGTGCTGCTAGCTGAATCAGGCCCAGCCTAGTTCACCTTGTAGCCTAGGTTTAAGTACAGCAGTAGCTCACTGGAGATGGAGGTACCCCTTGAGCCTTATGTGTCACCCTGGTGCTGTGTGTCTGTCTGCAGCCTGCGGAGATGTGGCCGAGCAGATAAGGGCTTCAAGTGGGGTGATCACGAGTCCAGGCTGGCCCTTCGAGTACCCATCCAGAATTAACTGCAGCTGGAACATCCGAGCCAACCCTGGGGAGATCATCACCATCAGGTGTGCTATCGGTGGACCGTCCCGGTCAGCCAGTCGTCTCGCCCGCTTGCTCAGCGTCTGGTGTCCTCACAATGTCCTCTGGACACTGCACTATGACCAAGGCGTCTGTTACATATCATCTGGGCTGCGTATCGACGCTACCCGTCACTGATATGCTTCGTTATCCCTATGTGGTGTCCATGGTTACCGCCACAGAAATAGTGCCTTTGCGTCGCAGGATGTGATTTTTTTTTTGGCATTGAAAGTGTAATTGAAAGCGTGATGTAAGTGCAGCAGTAGAGGATGGATTTATTTAATAAAGTCATCTGCGACGTGCACTAAGTATATTTTCGTTGAGTGTAATATGAGTGTGACGTGCGTCTGGCTGCTGTACTCGAGGACAGAACATGCGTCACCTACTGGCGGACATGCTCACGCTTGCGTTTTGATTCCTTCCACAGCTTCCAGGACTTCGAGGTCCAGAGTTCTCGCCGCTGCGGGTCTGACTGGGTCTCCATCGGCACATACAAGAACCTGGACGGCTACCGAGCTTGTGGCTCCTCCATCCCGGCCCCATACATCTCCTCCCAGGACCACGTGTGGATCAAGTTCCACTCCGATGACAGCCTGACCGGAAAGGGTTTCCGGCTGGCTTACGTAACAGGTGGGGGGGACCGCTTAGTGTCAGCGGGGTGGCATCGTTCTATGACAAGTGGATGATAGTCACGTCCTCCGTACTCCTGTACTCGGACTAGGCCTCATGGTTACAGAAGAACAGCACATTATTTCATACGGCATTTGTGGGAAGTTTACTTCATTTGTGAGTCAGACAAGAGAAAAGGCCATTATTCTTCTGAGGTGGGAAAAGTAAGACGGAGAATTTTACAGCTGCAAGGCCGTTTAATCTATTCCTGGCCTGGGCTGCTGAGGAGGCAGAGAATCCTTCATCTGCTTGGCAGTTTGTGGCCCCTTTTCCTGCTGAAATATCATTAGCACCACAGATTTACTGTTGGTGTCGTTCTCTGTTTCTTCGCGGAATTTATTAGGCTTAAATAAGGGCATTTTCCTTCCTTATTTGATAATACTGTGCTAATGGTCTCCCCCCCTCCCCCTCCTCACAGCTCCACCTGAGAGCAGAGTAAATATCTCCGACTCCTGTAGCCTCAGCCAGCTGTGAGCTGTGCTCTGACCTGTCCTTAAGCAGGCACTCGCTTACCAGTCATCCGGGGAGAACCGGCTCTGTCAGCACACGTGCTTCCCCTGCTTGTGTACAGTAACGTACTTGCTGTCCTTCCAGGCCGCCCGGAGGAGGTCAGCTGCGACTCGGATCAGTTCCACTGCGCCAACGGGAAGTGCATCCCGCAGAGCTGGAAGTGTAACACCATGGATGAGTGTGGCGACGACTCAGACGAGGAGCTCTGCGCCCCCACCGACCCGTCAGCCACCTTCTCCTTCCAGCCCTGCGCCTACAACCAGTTCCCGTGCCTTTCCCGCTACACCCGCGTCTACACCTGCCTGCCAGAGTCGCTCAAGTGCGACGGCAGCATCGACTGCCAGGACCTGGGTGACGAGATTGACTGCGACGTGCCCACATGCGGCGAGTGGCTGCGTAACTTCTACGGCACCTTCAGCTCGCCCAACTACCCTGACTTCTACCCCCCGGGCAGCAACTGCACCTGGCTCATCGACACGGGCGATCACCGCAAGGTTCTGCTGCGCTTCACCGACTTCAAACTGGACGGAACGGGCTACGGCGACTTTGTCAAGATCTACGATGGGCTGGAGGACAACCCGCGTCGTCTTCTGCGGGTGCTGACCGCCTTCGATTCACGCGCGCCTGTCGCCGTGGTGTCATCCTCCGGACAGCTACGCATCCACTTCTACGCGGACAAGATCAATGCAGCGCGGGGCTTCAACGTCACCTACCAGGTGGACGGCTTTTGCCTGCCCTGGGAGATTCCCTGCGGAGGCGACTGGGGATGCTACACGGAGCAGCAGCGCTGCGATGGCTTTTGGCACTGCCCCAATGGCCGCGACGAGCTCAACTGCAGCTCCTGCCGGGAGGACGAGTTCCCCTGCTCGCGTAACGGGGCCTGCTACCCCCGCTCTGACCGCTGCAACTATCAGAACCGCTGCCCCAATGGCTCGGATGAGAAGAACTGCTTCTTTTGCCAACCGGGCAACTTCCACTGCAAAAATCATCGATGTGTGTTCGAGAGCTGGGTGTGCGACGCGCAGGATGACTGCGGCGACGGCAGCGACGAGGAGAGCTGCCCTGTCATCGTGCCCACGCGCGTCATCACTGCCGCTGTTATCGGGAGCCTCATCTGCGGCCTGTTGCTGGTCATCGCCCTGGGCTGCACCTGCAAGCTCTACTCACTCCGTATGTTTGAGAGAAGGTATGCGCAGGCGTGCACACACGCATGCACACGGGGCCCTCAGGCAGCAGGTGTCTACACCATAGACAGGCCCCTGAAATAGAAATACGGGGTTTATGTAACGCGTCACTCCGGGTTAAATGATCCCTGCCATCCTCCGCATGTCTGTCCTGGGGATTCGCTGTTTGTTTCTCTGCTCCGCTCTAAGACGCACCAAGCCTCCAGCCTGCCGCTCATCTCCTTATTTATCTGGATTGAGCCTATTGTACTTTTCTTGCCTGGTTTCGATTTAATGGAAGCTAGCTGTAGACCAAGTCAGCTGATTCTGTGACTATCTGGCCGTCTGCTCAGGTCTTTTGAGACCCAGCTGTCCCGGGTGGAGGCGGAACTTCTGAGAAGGGAGGCTCCACCGTCTTACGGCCAGCTGATCGCCCAGGGCCTCATCCCTCCTGTGGAGGACTTCCCGGTGTGCTCTGGTAACCAGGTGAGCTGTCTGTGTGGGCCTTCCTACTTCTGCTGAGAATGTGTCTGGGGCTGCCCCTAAATGTCTCGTCTCTTCCAGGCTTCCGTCTTGGAGAACCTGAGGCTGGCTGTTCGTTCTCAGCTGGGCTTCACCTCCATCAGACTCCCCACCTCTGGTCGCCATGGCAACCTCTGGAGGCGTCTGTTCAACTTCACCCGTTCGCCTCGCTCCGGCTCTCTGGCATTGGTTTCGGCCGACGCAGAGGAGGCCACCGGGAGCTCGGCCCGTGAGCCGGAGCGGACCGGGCCCCTACGGAGCCTGCTGCCCCTTGACTCAGATGACACAGACACAGAGAGCGACCGGCGGGATGCTCCCGGCGCTGTGGGCGGCCTCGTGGCTCCTCTGCCCCATAAGACACCACCTGTATCTGCTGTGGAGGCCATCGTGTCTGTGTCGGCGAGCACCGCTGACCCCCCGAGGGTGGCCGGCCCGGGGGAGGCTGCAGTGGAGAGTGGGCCCGCAGAGCCCCCTTCTGGTATCCCTGGGAGGAGCCAGCTCAGCAGTGCACTAAGCCGGGTCACGCGCAGCTTGCGCTGGGTCCGCTTCTCCTTGGGTCGTTCCGGAGGCGGTAGCCAGAACCGCAGCCCACTGCACCACCTGGACCACGGCAGTGGTGCTGGCGCCGGCCACGAAGAGGAGGACGACGTGGAGATGCTCATCCCCGTGTCAGACGGCACCTCTGACAGTGACTTGAGTGAGAGCTCCCGGCCGCTGCTGGAGCCCGGGGCCCTGTCGGCCCCCCTGGTCCCCCCCGCTGCCGCTGGCATGCAGAGGGTAAGGCCGCCCGGTCGTGACGGGCCCTGCGAACACTGTGGCATGGTCCACACCGCACGTATCCCGGATGCCTGCCTGCAGGCCATCCCCAAGACTGAGACAAGCGATGATGAGGCGCTGCTGCTGTGCTAGGGCGCCCCCGTCGCCCCCGAAGTCCCCTGCCGTCAGGGAGGCATCACGGTTTCTGCCTTTTGAAATTTTACGTGCAACGTTCTTCACAAAAATAGCCAGCGGTCCCTAACGCGAACGGTACACATCACATGCCGGTACGTTCCTGTCCTGAGATGCCCCCACCCTTGCAGAGGGCCCACTGCCTGTACGGTCACACACACCTGGTCACTAAGCGGTCATCGACCGGCCGAGAAATGTGCCACGCAGATAATGTCAGGCGAAAGCAGATCCCCCAATTTCTCACCTTTATTCAGTTGATTCATGGCTTTTATTTCTTCCCCATTATTGTTTGGAGAGTTGCCAGCGAAAGGGGTCCGAGGGATAATTGGGGAAACCCTCGCAACGTGTGACGTTCACTGACCTTTATTGTATTTATTGTTTTGTTACTGAAAGCTTTGGTAACCTTGATGTTTTGGTACGGAAATTATTTGTGTGCGTATTTATTTGTTTTCATTTTGGTAGCTGTTATTTGGGAAGCATGTTAAATTGTCTTGTGCATTTTCGTTAAGTGATATATTGAACAAATATATATGTGACTGTTTACTGCACTAAAAACAGCTATAATAAAACGTACTCTGCCCGCGTGCCTCACGGCGCCTTTCTTTGTTCGCGCGTGACGTTATCAGGCCGGACGCACGCGTGCGTCACTGTGAGCATAACCCTCCTCATCGCTGCGTCTATTTTTTTCCCCCTGACTTTTCCTCAAGCTGCGTATTCTCACTGTTCCTTCTTTCCGAGAAGGCAAGCTTTTGCCCTCTGGAGGTGGAAGAAGGAACTGTAGCATTTAACTGTAGCGGTGGTGGTGTGGATTCAGGGCTTGGAGTGTGTGCTGAGGCAGGGGGGCAGTCACTCTGGGACAGCAGCCACACCCCCCTCCCCCCCAGCTCTTCCTCTGCCATGTAAAGAACGGAATGCATCAGATTGCAGGTTTCTGCCCCTGACTTTTAATAAGCACTGTCTTGCGTCAGAGGTACAGATGGCCTGTTTAACTTCCAGTTGAGTAGCTGAGCCAGAGAGGGGCAGTAAGAAACAGGGTTTTACACTCCCTGCACTATGGTATTTTCTGAGCTCAAGTGCTTCGGACAGCAGCCTTCGACTTGGACCTGGACTTGGACCAGCACTTGTCACATCCAGTCTGTATGATGGGTACATTTTGATCTCATCCAGGAAAACATCCAGCAAGGTGCACTAATCGGATTAAGAGCTTATGAAATGTTATGTGGGATGTCAGGTGTGATGGGGACTGACCTGTGCGGCCAGGGTTTGCTCACAGGTACCAGAGACTCCCTTTACGCTCGTGAAACACCTGAACCTATTCATGAAGTCTATAAACAAAGTGTGTGTTTATTTATATATATATGTAGAGTAAACGTAACTAAATTCCTAAAACCAAGCTTCGCTGTAAGGTGGCTGATAACAGCCAATGAGGTAATGAGTTTACAGCAATGATTTATTTCCTTTAGCAGTAAAATATCATGAGAGCATATTCTACACTGTTATGAGCCTTTTCTGGATTCTCTCTCTCTCTCATGCTGTGGTGTATCACGAGGGACACGTGTCTCTGCTCGCTCTGTGTCCCGGTCACACGGCTGTAGGATAGGTGTGTGGAGGGCACCACGTGTTCCAGGCCATGTGCTGGGCTGTGAACAGGCACGCTGCACCGCTCGTCCGCAGCAGCGCGGACACAGGTAGGTCAAGGCTGCTGCGTGGGCACCTCTTATACTTCATTAATATGCGGAGAAAGGGCTCAGCAGATAAGGGACCAATAAGACTGAACACGGAGAACAGACCAATTGTGTTTTACCTCTTTGCTGAGGCCTCGACCACCTTGCCAAGTAAAGTCCTGTCTCAAGTCCAGGCTTCCAGAGATTCATCAGTATCTTTTTCACTGAATGAGTCTATTAAAACATCCATTCATCCATCTTCCAAAAGCCTCTCCTGGTCAGGGTCTCGACCTGGACGCAACTATCCCAAGCAGCACAGAGAATAGAACATTGCTGGGCACATAGATGCAAACACAAAATTTAATGCTGCAAGCAGTTTATAAATTCTGAGTAACCTAACTGCATGTTTTTGGACTGCAGGAGGGAACCTACAAAGCAAAGGCTAAACAAGCAAGCTCACAACACACAACGGAGGCAGGATTTGATCTCCAAAGCCTTGAGGTCTGAAGCCAGAGTGCCAGCCTCTCATTAAAGCAACTGATCATTACTGAGACAGAGAGCCATGGTCTCCATGGTTACAATAGCCCAGCACAGGAAGCAGGTGGAGAGCAGAGTGATGGAGGTGGTCTCCTTACACTCTCAAACGACACCCCATCAGCAGAAGACAGACAAGCATATTTTTATGGCCTGTTTGTCCCAACACGTCCTTCCTACTGAACACATAAACGTGTATAAATGTACAGATATTTACCATCAGTCGGGCTGCTTTATATCATTATTATATACACATCTGTGATAATTGGGAACATGATCGTTTCCCCAGTGGAAATGGTTCTGACTGATTGGCATTGTGGCTGCCAGACCCTTCAGTTGGACTTTAACAAGACCTGTTTTACAGCTCAGTGTGTCTCAGCTAATCTGTCCGGAACACAGCCTATCACACACAGCCATACTTATAATTCTTGCTTACAGAATTATAAACTAGTTTAAGGGCAGATGATCTAAGACAGGATCCATTTATTTGCCATAACTGGCTGTTCTCTCTCCAGTAGGGGACACTGAGTGCCTTAGTGTGGCTTGGCTCTGAGCATGCTCAGTGCTGCAGCATGATGGGTGTTTAGCTCAGTGCTGCCCTCTAGGGCAACCACTGAGTAACTTTTCTGCAGTGCCAAGCAGGCTGTCTGTGAACAGAGCTGCTTAAGGGAGATATATGGTATGTAACTGGGAACACCTGTCCATTGCAGGGCACGCAGTAATAGACTCCCTACTCCCCCTAAGTACGTGTTTGCACTGGTACAGTGAAAAAAATGGCAGCTCATGCTTCTATGACCCAAACCACAGCTGCAGTCAGGAGCTGTGGGTGATGAACAAGGTCGCAATTACAAGTGGCCAAAATGAGGCTTTTTGATGCCGTGTCAGGTTTCCGCGGCAGGGAGGCACCTCAGAAAGGGGCCTCTGCTCCTTCGGATCAGCTTGGAGCTCGCAGGAATTCCACTTGGTCAGCGTCCAAGGCAGCTGCTCCTGGCTTAGCCCAGTGGGTGGAGGCCCTGGGGCAGACCCAGCACATAATGGAAGGATTATATCTCCCAGCTGGCCTGGAAGCCCATGAAGGAGTTAGAGTGTGGGACCTTGGAAAAAGTGGTCTGCTCTGACCTCCTCAGCATGATACTGACCGGCAGGGATGCAGGGATGGATAACGGCATGACAGCATACCTGGCTTCCCTCTATTGCTTCACGATGTATATACTGTAGCTAGTGGGGAATTTGTATTGATTTCTGTATACAAAAGATAGTAAACTTGTCTTTAAGGAAAGTCACACTAGATGGCAGCACTCGCACACATAATGCAAATGTCCACAAACTATAATGCTCGACATTGAAAGTCTTTCCCATTTTAATGTGAATATATGGCTTTTAAGTATTCAGTACCTGGCGATATTTATATTGTAGTTATGTAGTAATTATGCATTATGTGTATCTAACACACACACATACACTGTCTGAAGTTAATTCTTTAATCCTTATTAATGTTTATGTACGACGGCATCTGGGCGTGGCCCTTCAGGCAATGAGGAGACTGTCGGCATGTGGTCAGCGAGGTCAACGAATTCACCTGCAGATTAATCCAGCCCAAGATAACACAGATGTGTATTTCGAGCTTCTTTTTTGTCTTCCGGAAACCCTCTGACTTGTGTGTCACCATATAAGAACAAAATAAATCGTACTTACGCTTGACAATATCAGTGTTGCTACCTGTCGCGCACCTGGCGTGACACACATCCTTTCAGATTCTCAAACAAGAAATACGGCAAATATGCATTGTTCCATTATAAGCCTATAATTACATCAAAAGCGTTGGGGTAGATTGCAAACCCTACACACTGTAAATGAGTGCTCAGACTTGTCTCGAATTGAAAATCGCATGCCAGACAGCTGACCAAATATTAACCATCGTTTATCCAGTACAGGGTGATAGGGCGAGGTAGCTTGGGACAGAAGGCAGTTTCTGTTATATTTCGATTTTTATTTGAATTTGAAAAATAACGTACATGAATATTTTTTTATTCAGACATACTGTAGGACATGGCCTTGGCGGGAACACATTTGTGCTACAAAAAGGCGTTTGAAATGGCAAATAACACTTCCATTTTCTCTTGAGTCATGATTCATATCCCAACAGGGAAAAATGCAGTTCATCACCAAATCACACTGAGAACGTCAGTTGATGTGTACAGTTCCAGACAACAACATTATTTTTAGAAGAACAAAGTTTGCAGTGTGCTTCCCCAAGCCATAACTGATTTTCTTTTTCAATAAAGTAAAACAATGTCTCTGTTTTATTTAAAATGCTTTATCTTTTTCGGTGTTTGTATTTCTCATTTAAGGAAAGCTTTAATAAATACATTTCATCATGTAGTGGTTCTTCTGTAAAATAACTAAATAGAGCAAATAAAATTTGTTTTTAAAATAAGGAACTTGAAGTAAATGTTTTGTAGCAGTTTCCTGTTTTGAAGTCAGATGTATGGCGTCAGTCTGAGCTGCACGAGACACTGCATTCCCTCCTGTTATGGAGGGTTTCACCTCAACCTGCCACCAGATGGAGCTGATGTCTCTTTCGAGACCTGTTTGAGCATGACTGCAAGCCGCAGCTCTTCAGGCTGACTTGGGTAAAAGGACAAAACGCTTCTCCTTTACTTATCCATTTTAGACCAGAATGATATCATGATACATGGAGGTGAAATTAAATCATGATGCATTATGGGAAAATCAAGAGGTATGGAGATGAAATCATGATGCATTATGGGGAAATCAAGAGGTATGGAGATGAAATCATGATGCATTATGGGGAAATCATTAAAGATGCAGGTGAAATGAACTCGTGATGCATTGTGGTGAAATCGTATGTGCAAGTGAATTGAAATAATGAAGCATGGTAAAATCATGATACATGAAGGTAAAATTAAATTATGATGCATTATTGTAAATCGTGCTCATACATGTGAAATGCAATCATGATGCCTTTTTGTGAAATGAAATCCTTTTGCATTATGAAGAAATAACTATACATGGAACTGAATTGAAATCATAATGCATTATGGTAAAATTAAATCATGATACATTATTGTAAATCATGCTGCATGCAGGTGAAATGAAATCATGATGCATGTTTGTAAAGTCATGATACATGGGGGTGAAATGAAATTATGACATATAATTGTCAAATAAAATCATGACATGTCACACTCTAAATGATATCATGATATCAAACATAGAGTTAAAAAATTTCCTTGGGTGTCTGAAATGTTTGCCCACAAACCATGAGCCACTGATTTTCTGCAGAATTTAATTCAAGGTGAAGGAGTGACGTAGTTTACATGCACTGTACACCAAACTGTAACAATGCAAAATATTCCCTCTATCAAAACATGCGGGTTTACTCTTAGGGAGCCCAAGGCGCATTTTAAAGAAAAGAACAGAAAACATTTCAACATGCTTGTTAAACAAAACAAAGCCCGTTTAAAGAAAGTCATGTAACAGAGAGGTGTGATATAACGTACAGCCTTGACAGATCTCTGCGCATCTGGGGGAAATTGATAGAGGGAGCCAGAGAGTCTGGGGGGGGGACACCCAGGGTTGGGGCAGGGTGTACAATTTGCACAATAATGTTTGTGGTCATAAGGCTTGCACCTTTACAATGAAATAAATACGTTACATTTATTTTCATCTTCTCTTTGTCACATGAACAAGTACTTTTTTTTCTTGAATTGAACCTAAGAAGTTTTCCTGCAGATTCCCTTAGAGGATCGCCTGTAAAAATACAGACTAACGAACTGCCCCAAGGGCGACTGATGCGGCCCCAAGGGCGACTGATGCGGCCCCAAGGGCAAATGACGCTGCCCCAAGGGCGACTGACGCGGCCCCAAGGGCGACTGATGCGGCCCCTCATCCCGCTGCTGCATTCGCTCACTGTGAAAACCATGCACTAGTCAAATTCATCTTTAAAAACAATATAAACGGTTGAAAATGGCTGATCTCTTTGTTTCCTTTTTCTGCAAGTTGCAGCTTCAAGAAAATATTTTTTTTTTCAGCTTCAGTAAATTTGTGTCCATGCAAAAAAAGGGTCCTTTTCGAACACAGAAACAGAGATCAGAGGGTCACTTCAGTGCCGGGTCGGATGCCTAGCAGCGCTCTTGATTGAGCTCGTGTGCGTGTGTCTGGAGGTAATGGGGCCTCTGCCTCTCCTTCCTAACTTGGCAGTCTGCCGTTGGCCCGCTGTTGGTCGTTTATTGGCATGGCATCACCAAGCATCTGGTAAGAAACACAATCACCCCCCTCCCCCCGCTGGGTACAGCGCGGACGCGGACATAAAGGAAACAGACAAAAAAAAAATTAAAAACACAAACAACTGCTTGCTTTTGTTCAAAAAAGGTCATCTGTAGAGTCGCTCAGCAGTATTTTATGCTATTTTTCTCCATGGCTTGAGATTGTGATGAAACTTCACCCTGGTCCGGGCCCCCTGCAGCCTGCTACTCGCTGTAAGGATGCTCAGAGCTCCATGTTCACCGAAAACACCTCAGTGTCCCTAGAAACAAGCTCAGAAGACATGACGTGGAGCATGCAGTGTGACACAGCGGCGGGCCGCCCGCTCCCATGCTGCTAGCCGCTAACGCGCTACCCGTCCTCGCACTGCTATGACCTGGCAACCGGCACCAACGAGCTGTCCAGGGACGTCTGGGAGGCACCCCGAGTTAAAGGCGCCAGCGTCGAATCCACCAAAGACGACGGGGGAAAGAGTTTGAACCAGCCAATCACCATGTTTGACAGGTCTAAATCATCTAGAAGTATCTGGACGGCTCCCATGAATGATTTATGGTCCATGCGTCCATAGTCTCCCCACACAATTATCTGTCAAGAAAAACAGAGGAAGGTGTTGTATTTACATATATAACACATACAGCATGGCGTGGTCATCATATTCAGGTGATTGGTTATTTATTGATTTATATAAATAGCTATATTAGCAGCTCTCTTAGGTTCTGATCAGGCCCGTTGGATGTACCTGCAGGACCTTCCCTGATGGACCTTCTTGAAAAGACAGCGGCTGCTGGTAGAGCGGCTCCAGGGTTTTTCTCGCCGTCTTCGTCTTCTTTTTGGCAATACAGGCTCCGTTTAGCATCAGGTACACTTTAACGTAGGGAGCTGTGAGGGGAAAGCGACCACAGAGACGGTGGGTGGGTGAGATACAAGTGAGGGGCAGGGAAGAGATCAGCGAGGGTTGGGGGGTAAGATGAGTGAGGGGTGGGGTGAGAGTTTGGGAGAGAGATGGGTGAGGAGCAGCTGAGGAACTAGCTGTCACTGGACAGCCCTGCAGCACATGCTCCACCGTTTACAAAAAATCACTTCCTCAGTAATTTCACACAAGTGACTCAATATATCAGCAGCACAAACACAAAAACACACACACAAATGCATACTCAGTAGGTGGTACACATGACTTAAGCAGGAATAAATTCCTAGAGGGGAGGTACCCATCTTCCGAGCAAAGACAAATTCTTATGCGTTACATACATATGGCGATAACTCCATCATAATACGCATATATCCCTTAGTGCATATACAAGGTACCTGGCAGGGCCTTGGACCCGGGTTTCCCCACGAGCCCCCGAGCCCGGATCACCTCCACCTCCAGCATGCCGTTCTTCACCACAATGCCGATCTGGATGTCTCCTGCGGGGAACAGTGTCCGGCAGATGTCTCGTCTTCATTTGCGCTCAGCTTCTGCATCATATGAACTATGAATTTCAGCACTTACCCATGGGGGGCGTGGCCAGTGTCTGCCTCCCGACAATCTGGGCGGGGCCTAACCCATCCAGGAAGTCGCTGAACTGGCTGTCGGATGAAAGCCTCACGTTGGGGAAGATGAGGCTGTGAGTGAGAAGAATGAACAAAATGTACTTTGGACGAAGACCACCAGGAGTAGTGCGGCAGGTTGGAGATGGACTGGTGCGCTTACTTTCCCTCAGAGCTGAAGCTGTTCATGCTTCCGTCGTTGGACTCACGGCTGGCCTGTCTGGTCATGCGGTTTCTCATCTCCACCGCAAGCCCTGTCTCCACGCTCCTTTGCACGTTGCTGTGCGACTTCTTCCCACCTTCTGTCAAGGGACAGGAGAGGTGGCTGAAATCGTCTGAGAGTCTCCACCCACATTCAGCTAGATAAATCACTAAGTCTCCACCCACATTCAGCTTGATCAATCAGAGTCTCCACTTACGTTCAGCTGGATAAATCACTGAAGCTCCACCCACATTCAGCTGGATCACTCACTGAGGCTCCACCCACATTCAGCTGGATAAATCACTGAGGCTCCACCCACATTTAGCTGGATAAATCACTGAGGCTCCACCCACATTCAGCTGGATCACTCACTGAGACTCCACCCACATTCAGCTGGATAAATCACTTGTCTCAGCTATCACTGAGATTCCCCCTCTCACAGAGGGAGGTTTAGCTGCAAAAGCTTAACCAGATCTAAAAATCCATCCCCATATAATTAACAGACAACTGAGAATGAACAGTGAATAAAATGTCTGGGATTAAACGTGATATTTTTCATCAAAAGGTCTGAGTGACCTTTGCATTTGATTGATGAGATTCACTGGGTTCCTAGTTACTGCTCATACCTGGGAAGCAGACTGGTTCCACTAGCTTCTACAATACATGAACACATTCTGGAAGGGGGTCCACAATGAGCAACTTTTACTCTGTTATGACAGGAAATCAACAACGATGTTCTAATGAAAGCCGATAATGGACCTGGATACCACCTGGTTGCAGCAGCTGCAGTTGCTGTTGTTCACTGTCATTACTCTCAATCTCACAGTCAACACACTCCACATTTAGTAGTCTGGAAGCTCCTATGATTTATATAGACTGATGACCCAAAACGTTACAACCAACCCCTGTGTATTGAATAATGTTGATTATCTAGTAAAAAAATATCCAATGGTAAGCTAAGCTTCAGTACTCATAGTCGACAAGGAAGGCTATCCCGTCTGGTACGAGCCAATAGAAGGGCTACTGTGCCATAAATGGCAGATAATTTTGATGATCACAAAAGTAATGTGTCACGACACTCAGGGAGTCGAGCCCTGTTGCGGGATAGTCGTTATTCACATCGAGCCCTGTTGCGGGATAGTCGTTATTCACATCGAGCNCTGTTGCGGGATAGTCGTTATTCACATCGAGCCCTGTTGCGGGATAGTCGTTATTCACATCGAGCCCTGTTGCGGGATAGTCGTTATTCATATCGAGCCCTGTTGCGGGATAGTTGTTATTCACATCGAGCCCTGTTGCGGGATAGTCATTATTCACATCTTGCATTGATGAGTTGGGGATTGATGTCACATTGATGTCAGGGATTCATAGTTTTTCCCTCCTCAGACCACTCTCAATAGGAACTCACCACAGCTGACTGTGAGCACTCTGCAAGCCTTGCCGTTTCAGAGATGCTCTGACCCAGTCGTCTGGCCATAATGATTTGGCCCTTGTCAGAACCTTGTTAGGTTACCATCTAATATATCCCAGGGCTTGATATGTTAACACTTTTACGACAGTCAACATCATTTGCTTCCCAGGCGGGTGGTCATAATGATTTGGTTCATCAGTATATTTTCTTAAACATGACTTTTTAAAAACAGATTTAAATTATTTATTTCATAGTGTTACACACTAACCACACAGCACGTTCTGCCAGTGTTACACACTAACCATACAGCACGCTCTGCCAGTGTTACACACTAACCACACAGCACGTTCTGCCAGTGTTACAAACTAACCACACAGTACACTCACCAGTGTTACACACTAACCATACAGCACGCTCTGCCAGTGTTACACACTAACCACACAATACGCTCTGCCAGTGTTACACACAAACCACACAGTACGCTCTGCCAGTGCTACACACTCCCCACACAGCAGACCTTGCCACTATTTCACACAAAGCACACAGCACACTCTATCAGCATTATACACTAACCACACGACACACTCCGCCACTGTTACACACTGCCAAAATAGCACACACTGCTAGTGTTACACACTAACCACAAAGCACACTCTGCTGGTGTCACATACTCCCCACACAACACCCATATAGTCCCATACAGTGAACTCTGCCAGTTACATGTTGCTATGTATAAGCACATATTAGACACACATCACGTCTTGTGTCTATGAAGATCATATTTATGCATCAAACATTAACACCTGGTTTTTCTATTAATCACCATTTCATGCCAAGAGCAACACAACGCAGGGTTCTCATGTCTTCCTCGATCATCAAACCAGATTAGCTCCACAAAGCACAGCAGACAGCTGCACCCCCACCCAGAGCCCTGGGAGGACGGAGGTCACAGGAGGGGTCTTACCTTCGTCTTCCTCATCGAAGGAATTCATACAGGGAATGTAAACGGCGAGTGCCTCAAAAGAGGCAGACAGGCTGTGTCGGCTCGGGGTGCGATGTATGCGTGTGCCAGCGTGTCCCTGCCTGCCCATTCCAAACCTCCCGGGGGCCTTGCAGAGTCGGAACGCTGTCAACTCAACTGAGAGGCCAGCCCCAAACTCCGGCGGTCTTACCGCTCTGTGTCTCTGCCGGGCTCCACCGCGCGCTGCTTACTACTGCCTCTCCATGCTCTGCCCCACTCCCCTCCCCCTCAGCACAGAGATTGGCTATAGGTGGGGCTCTTGGGGCCGATGATTCCCTGCTCAGCAGCCAATCACACTGTGCTTAGCCAACTGGTAACGAATCAGCCACCGCAAGGTGGTCTGCCTGGAGATATGTATCAGTTCTAGCTTCTGTGACGAAGTCAGCTGTCTAACCAGATATCTTCAACAAGTCCTGCACTGGTGGAGAAGTTTACATTCCACTGTCACCAGTGAAGCCCCCCCCCCTTTCACATTACCACCTTCTTTTTCATGCCACAGCAAACAGTGTAGCAGAGATTGAAAGAAAGCCAGTATCCCGTTTGACCAAAAACACTGCAATTGATTTTATAGTATCCCCAGTCTCAATGTGATGGATCACCTGCGGTCAAATCAGATCCACTGTGTTCCTGGGATGGATGTGATTGAACATCTGACGCTTCTATGAATAATCGCAGGGAAACAGAGGTTTCTGCCATAATGGCTTTGATAAATATGGATGTGGCATTTCAGCCAGGCAGTTTGTGCAACGGTCCCAACAGCCACAGCTATCGTCCCCCAGCAGCCACAAAGCCACAAAGTACTGATCAGGTCTCGCTGAAGAATGACAGAGAAGGAGAGAATGATTAGGTACTTTTAGAAGATGAGTGTTGATTTTCGGAATGAAAATGAATCGTGCAATGGAACAAATCGAAATGAAATCAAGGCAAGCATTTTACAGGAGGATACGGATAAGCGGAGAAACAGAGGCTTCATCTGAGTTTGCTCTCTCTTCTGAGATCAGAAGAAACGAAGCTGAAAAGTTACTTGTGTAAGTGGGACAAGAATCTATGTGGGGTATTAGAAGCTAAAAAAATAACATCATCAAACAGGACAATCAAAGTGTATTTTACATGCTTTTACCTGTGTGCAGACCAGTGCGTTCCGTGGCCACAATGTGGCCATTGGTATGATGACCCACCTTTGTTGGGCTTCATGGGTCAAGCAGCTCCTCTCTCATTTGTAATTATGGACTTTTTTAGATGACTGCAAGCTATTTCTGGGCACACAAATTAAACATCCTGGGTGTCAAGGACAATACAAAGAGGATTAATTGAAAAATAATGATAAGAAAGGGGAGACGATGATGATCTTCAGCGCAAGTTAAATGGTTCAAGGTGAATGATGAGTTTGACAGCTGGGGGAGGAGCTGCCACAGATGGGAAAATGATATGTGACCGCGTGGCACAATTCCGTATGAAATGAGGCCCCCGCTCTCATAAAGATCACCCCACCATCGCTGCCATCACTGGGCAGCCAAGAGGAGCACGATGTTCCACATCCTTTCAGAAGAAGGGGGGGGGGGGGCTCATTCTCCAAGGAAGCAAATGAATAATAAGGTCTTCAAGTGAAAGGTCTATCATTGTTAGCTAATGGTGCAGAGTACTCTGGAGACAGGAAGTCAAGAAGAAGGAGGCAGACCGAACCTTTTGGGGCCATGTACTGTCTTGTAGGTGCCAGTGCTTCACGCAGAGTGCTGGAGTTGGTCATCGATGGCCTCTCATCGAAATTAAACAACATCTAGGAATATGTAAATCTAGTACCTTACAGCTAATCAGTCTAACATTTGGAGTCATATTCCTGGAACAAGGGTAATGAATGGAATATGAGTACGGAGCAGCACAGTATGAATTACACCCTCTAGTTAGGATGAAAGAAAGTTCTGAGTTTCGTAGAAGTGTATATAAGAGGAGTAGGTCCAATTCCCCAGGCTGCAGGGTCTTTCAAAGGAGATCCACTTCACCTTGCAAGAATAATATTATGCGGAAGTATTCAGAGAGCCAGTCGCAATCAAATGAAAAAGCGTTTGAACCTTCTCCTCTTTAAAAGACCTTGAAGGACCCATTTCTCAATTTTGAAACAACCAACACAGCAGTCTGAAGTGCTTACAAATCAGATGATTTTCAGAAAGAGGTGCTGCTCACATACATCTCAGGTAAGCCGAGGAGCAAGGAAGTTCATTGGCTATCACTTATTGCGCAGCCAATGCAGAATCAAGGACACCTACTGATCTAAGAGGTGTCTCTCTCCCATTTTGACACACATAAACTTGATACAATAGTTGTTAAGACCGTCTCGGCTCAGCTGGCAGAACAATGCAAAGAATTCCAGCATCACACCCCAGAACGTCGGAGAAGGTCCTTCAGCCAAAGTGTCATGCTGATAGACTCCAGCCGGGCCTCAGGCAGGTCCGCTGCCACCGGCTGTATAAACACTGCTTTCAAATGTTTTACAGATACTTGCACCATCAAGCTCTTTTGACATCCTGGGACTAAGGAAGTCCGTTTCCCAGAAGCGTGAGTCTTTAATGTTCACTTTTTGTACATACATACCAGTGACAAGAAAATCCGTGTTAAGCGAAGTTGTCCAGGAGACACGGAGGCTGACAAACAGACTCACAAAGGCCGCAAGCCAAAGACTTCGTGAAAAATTCACCTGTTTAAACACTTTAAACACATATTTTAGGGGCAGAACAGGGACCTTCCCCTAACAAAAACACCTTTAATAACTGGAAATTCTAACAGACCTTTCTGAGGATTCAGAGCACCGTGACCCAGTACTGGATAAGTGGTTATGGGTCGGGCTGGGCTGGCCATCTGGCATATGGGTCTTTGGGGTTGGAAGCTGGCAAGAACCTCGCCCTCCAATTGGCAAATCTTATCATAGGTAGGCAGGGCAAAAGTCCAGGACCAATTTTTAATCCCAGTTCAGCCCCAGTTATGGGACCCGATTGTACAGTAAAAGCACAAACTCAGTTAACGAACAGCTCTTTGACATCACAGGGTGTATATGAACGTTGCTCTGTGTAATTAAGCGATAGGTTAAGGTGAAATTCGAGGAAGCTTGGTGCCCATGCATTTTTAACGACGGCAGCACTGATCTCTCCTTTCATAGTGGGATACAGCATGCCTTTCACTTTCTCAGGAAAGACTGACCGTACATAATTAATATGCGATGGAGAGAAACACGCAAAAGTGCCCCCATGTTTTGCAGGCAAATTTCATATATACACATCTGTCACCTGAAAAATTGCAATTTCTTTCCTTTACATTTCATTTATTTAGCAGCAGTTTTTATCCAAAGCGACATTCATTTGTTTGCGAAAGCAGAGTCAGCCAGTCCTTGGAATAACTGAGGGTTAGGGGTCTTGTACAGGGGTCCTCTGGTGAAATCACTCTGCCGACTCTGGGATATGAACCAGCGACCTTAAGCACACACCAGAATCACGGTCACTCCGCACCTAGGAACCGACGGGTCTGGCCATGAGGAAAGGCATTTTATCAGCATTCAAAAGGAAGGTCCGCTTCAAACTCAATAGCTGCAGGTGCAGGTGAAATATATGCTTCTTTCAGCAGAAAAGATGAACCGAATCATCCAAATAAGACGATATGGTGGCCAATCTCCAAACCCCAAGATCGGAGTCATTCTCAGGTCAAAGTCACTTATAAAGCCGGTTGCTTATTAACACCTCAGATCCACAGCAAGACACAGACAGCTTCCAAACTGTGCTCAGTAGGAATTACTCCACCGGTATATTTACTGCCTACTCAAGCATGACTAAATCCAAGTTACTGCAGGTCTAATTAACACGGCTGATTGTGCAGGTGTATCCTTTCTCTGACAAGCCATAAAAAAGCTCAGATTACCTAGATCCCGAGGACCTCGTCAAGCACGTATGCAAAAGTTCGACAAAACTGAAGGTGACAACCCGAAGATCACAGATATCACAAGAAAATAACAGTACTGGTTTACATTAAATGCAAGGCTGTCGGGTGGTCGGTGAGTGACACAAAATCCATCGTTGCTGTAGTTGGCCAGGGGTCAGATGGACATCCTGAAGATTGGTTAGAGCCCCAGGGAGAAAACGCTATGGGATCTTTCAGAGTAACTGACTATATGGACACGCAGCAGGCTGGTGAACATCTAGGACATCAGCTTCTAATGCCAATGCTAAGTTTAAACAATGAGCAGCAAACATTAACAACACAGGGTGTCACAGACTTACTAAGTTATTGGCCATGGATGCTCATTAACAACACAGGGCTTACTAAGACTTACTAAGTTATTGGCCATGGATGCTCTTGGTTGCTTAATGAACTTATTACTTATACTATTATTATTATTCTCTCTAGAGAAAAGGTTCTGCCAAATATCTAAGCATGAAATCGCGTATCTTTCCAGAAGAAATTTAATATTCAGGTTGCAATGTTACCCTGGAAGTGGAGCAAACCTAACTCTCAAACAACCATGACATAGTTTTTCTGTAAATCGTGGGAGTTCTTGCTATTGTGCGGGTTTCTCAGCAGGGAAAAAGTCCCGTTTACGAAATGTCAGATCCTTACAGTCAACTCACCAGTGCTTACATTCTCTCCCCCCAATTTCTCATACAACCCATGGAAATTCCTGTCTTCCATGTATAGATCCTGCTCAGATCCTGATGCTACATCTAGGCTAAGGCTGCCTGCAGACTGCATAACGGTCATAGCCCATGTTGTAGCGACCTCTCAGTTTACGTCATGAGATAAAAGTGATGCAAACATTAAGTAAACACTGCACGCTAAAACTGGACACCTGTTACGTGGCAACTTCATACACTGTTATTTATACAAATGGGATCTGAATCACATGACTGAGCGAATGACTGTTTGCCCCTCAGTGAATGTTAAAATGGGCCCTTCATCAATCCCAGCCTGGAACGACATGGTGCGATGAAGTCATTGACCTGTGGGGCCGTGGGGGTCTGTGCGCTGTCATGGTGGGGGGGCAAGATGTATCACCAGATCTGAACTGTCCTTCTCTGGAGCTTTTCAGACTCACCAAGGGGTCAAGCATCATTAATCCAAACAAAGTGCTCCTCTTTAATTAACAATATCACTCATTTTATTCGCTTGTTTTTGATCATATTTTAAAAGAAACTCATACACTAAGAAAACTTGTAACTACAGCTCAAGGTAGCTAGACTGCCTGAAGAGACGTTTTCCCAGAGGAATACCAGGTCTGGAATAATCCGATTAAATGAGACTGAGCGTGAGGATCTGTGCTCTCCGCAGACGGCTGGCCGGGGCCCTCTGGGTGAAGCTGCTGAATTAGGCCACGGCTCAGCCTGTTCTCGCAATGCAGGCTCTGCTCGAACTTTATCTGGGACAGACATTTCTGAGGTGACCCAGCTTCTACTTACGTGTCTGACAGCATCGCCACGCTATCAGACTGCAATCAGATTTTAAGGAGAGATAATGAACGAGAACAAGAACAAAATTTGCTCTGTCTAAGGTGTATAATCATTTAGCATACAACAACTTCAACCTCAAAACACATTTCCTGACATTATAGTTCCCTGTTTTTCATTCCGGTTGTTTTTCCATGTATTTTACACTAAGAGCTCTGATTAAATTAGATCAGCTTACCGGTGGGCATCTTTTCAACCATTCCGACATTCTTTACATGAGATTTCAGATTTCATCACCTACAATGTGAGACGTGTCATGTTCTACACTACAGGTTTAATTTTCTAAACAACCGATGGTTTCAGGTTCTACACCACCATTGCTTTCTAGTTCTATCCCACTATTGTTCTCACATTGTACATCACTTTTTGGTTTCAGTTTCTACACGACTGTTGGTCTGAGGTTTTCCTCCACTGCTGGTTTCACGTTCTAACCCACGGTTGTTCTCATGTTTGACACCACTTTTGCTTTCTTTTTCTACCACATCAGTGGTTTCAGATTCTCCACCGCTGTTGTTTTGAGGTTCGCACACCAGTTTTGGTTTTAGGTTCTACATCGCTGATGGTTTCATGTTCCACATCACCATTGGTCTCAGGTTCTATACTGCTGTTGGTCTCAGGTTCTCCAGCGCCTTTAGTTTCAGGTTCCACATCGGCATGGCTTTCAGGTAGCATGTGCACCCTGAGCTCAAGCTGCGCTGCCCCCTACCTGTTTGGCTGAGCTGTGACGTGCTCCGGCTCTTCCGCGACAGGCCCACCATCGCCCCGATTTTGGCACCGAGGCTGGAGCGTCTCTTCTTCTCCTCCTCATCTGCGCCGCCCAGGGCTGTGTCTGACTGGCTGCCGTCATGCCGCTCCAGGCGGTACATGTCGCCACCGATGCTAGTGCTCTTCGTCATGTTGGCCCCAGAAGCACCCGCCTGCCTGTTTTTCATTTTGGATGCAAAGTCACTGTCAGCAATGACGGGATAAAGGAGAAATAAAGGAGGGGGGGTCAGAGGAAGAGAAGGACGGGGGTATGGAGACAGATGGGGGAGGATAGGGGCAGGAAAGATACGAGATTTCAGCTGAAGGAGCGTGGACTACAGGATAAGCTGGTCACGGTGCAGGGTTGCAGGGATGCAGGGTTGCAGGGATGCAGGGATGCAGGGATGCAGGGGGGACAGTGAGACTCTGTGGACATGCAGACTAATGTGCATCCTTTCAACATGGACCTCCATGACTGAGCAGTCCAGCGCCCCCCCCCACCCCAATAGCAAGAAGGGGAAAGGCCCCAAACCATCCAGGTACTCAGTATTTACATATAGCTAGGAGTGAAACCAGCTGACGTGAAGCCAAAGTAGAAACCCACATCATACCATTAAGACGGACTCTAATGAGAATTTAAGCCCAGGAGACAGACAGGGTGAAAATAAGTTCCACTTATTATTTTTAAATCACAGGAGAAAAGGTGTTAGGTAGCTGTGATCACCTCCAAGTTGAAGGCCTCTACTGTCACAGACCTCCTCTAACAAGGAGGACTGCTGACTGATTCATTTGCACAGAAATAAGGTCCCTGTTAGGGGGCTCAGGATGGCAGGTGTGACTCTGACACCCCACTCATTACTGCAGAGATGCCAGATTGGTGGGAGGTGATGACGCAGCTGTCAAGAAAACGCATTCATATGGGAGAAACACAGCTGAGAAACACAGACATCCATATCCACCTTTCCTGTGCAGGGTCATCTAACGGGAAATTGCACCCTGGACAGGATGCCAGCCCCCACACAGAGCACCTAATGCATGCCAGCGTTCCATATCCTCAAGATGTTTACACAAACACAGGGAGAACATGCAAGCTCCACATGCAATCCTTGGGTCCAACCCAAAACACTGGAATGCTACTCACCCTAAGTGAAAGTACACGACACAAAACAGACAGAAACGGCATGGCTGCCCTTAAAGGGCCAGGCAACGCTTTTCAGGAGATGGGACTCCCGATACGTGGGGAGAGACTGAGCCCTCTGATAACCATCATGAGGAGTTGTGTCTGAGAGACATAACAGTGGGCCGCACTTCTGAATGGTACCAGAAGGTCACGGGTTTCGTTCTCCAACACAGCTGGAAAACTTATTTCCTAGCTCAACATAAGGGAGAATTGTATGTGTATCACTCTCCCACCATCAAATGTGAGTTTCTGCCAGCAATCTGAAGGGCAGAGTTTCACTGGAAGATCTTAGGAATAACAAACCAAATGTCCTTGAAAGGATGGTAAAAAATACTGATCCAGTCCTACTGAGAATCTGTGGAAAGATTTTTATTCTGCTGCCAAGCACCTCGGTGGACTCGAGCCAACCTGCTGGGCACAATTGGCGAGAAAGATTTCCTGCTAGACAGAGTGGAGAGCAGGCATCCGTGTGGCTGAGCTCTGCCTGGCTAGCACGGCTAACCCAAGCACCTAGGTCTAGACGTTCTGGCATTGCTGTGCTTGCATGAGGGTAGCACTTTGACACCTACAAACCACTATTCAGGTCAAGTTGTGCAACATTTAAACAGCCTATATACAGCATGGGAAAAGGGCATTGTTAAGCTAAAGGTTTTATTATGTATGGTATATTAGCATGCGAATTATTTGCTCTCATCCTGGTACGTCTTCCATCAGTCACTGTGACCTTGTTCTCAGGACCCAAGATCTGCAGAAGACAGTGATTCTGCTTTTTCTGTAGCACCGATGAAGCAGAAGAACTGGTAACTGTGGCCTTAATCAAAACTGAGTCTTTAGCCTCAAACCACAGTGATAAGAAAACAAAAAAGCAAGACTGAGCACTGTTATGTATGTCTAGGTACGAGTCCCAAGCAAAAGATGCTTATCTGGGGAATTAAAAACCATTGTGCTGTTCTTCAGCAACACTGAACGGTGAGGAAAAGTTCATCTGACTCTGAATGGGGCAAGGTAAACATTCCTCTTTATGGCACCGCTATCTTGCGGCTCCATCAGTAATATCATAATAGAGAGTGAAACAGCTGGACGTCAGAATGGCAAGCGCTCATATAGATTAAGCGTTAAAGCCATGAGGTTAACAGTTCGTTTCCAGGAGAACCACAATAAACACCTGAGCGCATTGCTTACACAGCAGCTAGACAACCCTTCAGTAATTCAGCTCACATAGAGGCAGTCATCAAGTAAAGCCACAGTACAAGACCATTTCATGTTTGAAACATGGTTTCCATCTCCAATGAGGAGGACACGTCTCTGTCAAGCGGACTACATTCACTAAAGTACAATTAGGCATCGAGGAAAAGAGAAACATCTGAAACCGTTAAAAACTTAAAAGTTCACATTAGAAGTCACTGGAAGTTTACCGAAATCAACTAATTGGGTTGCAATTGATGAAGATCAATGCAAGAGCCATTTCTGCATCATCTTCTACTGTCCTCACAGGCAGCATGACCATGAGAGCTGTAGGGGTGAAGAATCTCTCACTGAGGAGAAAAGCCAAACTCGCTGATGTCGGAGCAGTTTGACAACTTCCACACCACAGGCAGAAAAGATGCCCTGGCCTTCCCTCATGGATCAATGCACCTCATTTCCTATTACTGCACTTAACCTAAAAAGCATTACGACAGCCGGTGGCCTTCAGACACTCCGCAGGGCACTGACGCCAACCTCCAGACAGAAGATCAGTCCTCCACTGGCGTGAGGGAACACAGCGTGATTCTCAAAACGGGCCACAAATCAAGACAAACACAAATCAGTTAATTGCAAGCACGGGTCCGCATTGACACTTTCAGCACTTGCACTTGCAAAAATTGAGTCACATTCGGTACTAGCTAGCTACCTAATAAAGTACCTACTACCCGGTACTAGCTAGGCGCAAAAATAAAGTTGGTTTTACCCGGTACTAGCTAGGTG